CTGGGCGAACGAACAATGGGCTGCTCGATGCTGATAAATAGACGTAGGTTTGTTACGTTAAATAGACTGGTTGAAGCCTGGCCGGTACGACTACCACTGTTTCGATTCCTCGGCGTTTCAATGGCTTTTCACGCTCCCGTGTTCCGCCGCACGCTGCCAGGAATATTTAACAATCTATATTGGACTGCGCGCTATCGCTGGACTAAAGATCCCGATTTTGAACGTCGACTGAAATACACGTGAAACGTCCCTTAACCTCTTGCGGCTGGAATGCCACGCACGTCCCAAATTGCAACATTTTCTCAGTTTTAAGTATATATTTAAATATAATACGGGCAAAACGAATGATAAGTTGGTTACCTCTTGATAATTCCTATCCAGTGATGTCATACCGATCAGTTCGAAAGAAAAAGAAAGCGACGAATTATTGTGTACGGTGTTCGGTCACTCGTTATGGTTCGCGAATCAGTTGTCAGCGCAAGGGATCAAGACTCGTTCTTGTTAGAATACGCGTTTTTCTTTTTTTTTTCAATATAGTACCTTGGCAAATCCCTCAAGCGTTACGGATGGACAATTTTTCGCGTGACACGGATTTTCGTCCGAAGCATCGTTTTCCCACGCGTGATTTTTCAGACTTCTGTCGGCGATTTTTGATTTGAACTCAAACAGGAAATACACGGCTGGGCGAAAATGACGGCTGCCAATCGAATTTATAAACGTAACGCGACGCGATTAAATAAAATCCGCGACGCGGATAAAAGGTCGGCGGGTACAATGAATTTAATGCCGTGATAACCTTTTTATGCTCAATAATACATCTATCATCGCGATGTCGTTCGAACGCTATCGTAGAGAACACCATCCATAAATTTTTCGCCGCACACAAATGAAAATCGCAATTTTCGTTTAGCGATCGTGTTCATTTGCGCGCTCGTTGATCGTGGATACGGGCTTATTTTAGCGGCAACAATGAGATTCGGCTGTATCTTCCATTGGGGTTCGTTATTCTTTCAAAGAGTTTAATCCTCGAAAGCTGTTATAAGTGAAAGCTCGATTTTCACGTCGTTGTTAATTTTTTTTAGTACAGAGCTCGCCAGCGGAAAGCAAAGTATAACGCGCGTATGTAAAAGAATCTCAATTAAATGGCAAAGAGATTGAAATGAAAAGTCAATAAAATTTATCGAATAGGATTAAATACCTAAAAACCTGTTCGCAGTACGACAATATCAGAGAGCAAAGTTCATCCGTGAAAAAACTTTGACTACATCGAGAAGTGAGTTTCAGAAAAATTTATCGTTTCGCGTTTATGCAGTATTTCGAAGCCAGAGTGAATTTAATTGAATGAAACTCTCTCGCGCGAGCAAATTTTTCTTCGCCGAGCCTCACCCCACTAGGTAAGAAAATTCACAGTTATCGACTCTGCGCGATCTCCGACCGAGTTTTGCCGACTTCGGCCAGATACCTGGTAAATTCTCGCGTAGAAAGCTGTCTTGCCGACTAGAGAAAAAGCTCTCGGGTCGATAAGAAAAGCAGCGTACCGCGGTGGCTATTCTAAGAGAAGCTCTGCCCTGAGAATACGCAGCGCTGGAGAACCGAGAGAACGCGCCTGAGCTAATCTGGCTAACTTTAGCATGAGATTTTCGTGCCGATGCTCGTACGCCTGTACGAACGTAGAGAATCGCCATCGGCGATCCGTTCTCACGAATGTCACTATTTCTGTACTGCCAACTTTTTCTACTTTAGCCGGAACTTCGTAATTGCTCTGCCAAGTAGTAATAGTAGTAGTAGTACCTTCGTACTTCAGTGAAACGATACTATTCGATCGACGATGGAACGGCCGAGATATTTTAAGAACCATTGAAAGAACGTACTACAAATATTTATAAATGAAGAATGAAATTCATTTTACTTGAACTTTATATATTATTATTTACATATATTAGTATAACAGTATTATATAATAGTATTATATATTATAACAGTATTATTATTTATATATATTATTATATATTATATATATTATTTTTGCGTGTTATGAGCATTATTTTTTTTTCAAACATATAAAAATCTACGTGTAAGAATATTTTTCGAAAATATCGACGATTAATTTAAGAGCTATCTCTCTTTTTTTTTTTTTTTTTTTTCATTGTAACCTTCTTCTATAATGAACTAGGAAGTAGAAAGTCACACAAAGAAAAGCTCTTGCTGCTTATTTAAAAATATTTAACTAATCTCCAGCAGCATTTTTAAAAGATATTTCCATTAGAATCTCGAATTGTACAAACTCTACAAAATTCCATCATCGATAAAGTAGTAGTGAGAATATTTAACACGCTCCAATTTTTAATTTCACGTCTCCGACAGGTGTTTAATCTTCTTCCTAATTAAATCAGTTTGCTCTGACACGGCGAAAAAGGAGAAAGAATCGACGAGTTGAAAAGATTGCTGGGAAATATGGTTGGAGCAGCGTTAAAATATCGCGCAGTTACTTGAAATCGGCGGATATATCGGCATTAAAATGGTTTTCTCCAGTTGATCATACAAACGGATGGAGAAGCGACTCGGTTGGGAAGGCAATTCTCTAAAATTTTCCTGTATCCGATCATCTGGATTAGCCTTTAATATTGGCCTCGGTGCTTGGCGTGCAGCCAGATTGAATATAATTGATATCGATTCACGGCCGACGTCTGTGCATGCTGCTGCATCGTTTTAACTTTAATTGCGATAAACCGGTTAACTCGTAATTTCTGATAAACTCTTGTCTCTCTTGTCGCTCTCTTCCGAGTCGTTCTAAGAATCAGCACGATTGATTGAGCACGAACTCCTTGGCAATTTTCAAATATAGAATAGACGATGGAAGTATTCGAATTCTTAGAAAAACCTCCCACAAATATATCGCGTGTTACATACAATCTACTTTTATTCGTTCATTCCATGAGGCTCTATTTATCCATAAAAATTAAAAAATGAAACAGAAAGAACGTACGAAAATCTAATGTAAAACCAAATGTAAAAAAATTATTGGATATCTTAGATATTTCTTTTTTTAGTCTCAATGTTCCAGATCATCTTTAATATTTTTTACTGTACACAAATTTCTCAGCAAATACATATTTCGCGACCTCTCTCTCTCTCTCTCTCTTTCTCTCTGCATTTTCAGGCTGGTTTTAAATAATTTAAGCTCGCCAGAGTGCTAATAAAATTTTAAAATGTTTCATACAACGCACGCATATTAAATACTTATTTAAAGGGATTTTTACCTATTTAATACCAGGTGAAAATATAGAAAACAGATTTGTCGAAGAATTTTGCAACGCGAGTTGCAGATCGGACGTGCTCGATGTTACGACGCCGGTGCGTCTCTCGTCTATATTTAATCGAGCTTTGTCGAGCTGCATTAATAAATAAATAATCGATCACGAGTCGACGAATACAGCGCGCGAAATTCCATCTAAATCGGGACGGATAATTAAAGACGCGGAAAAATAACAATGGCCAAGAACCATTGGATGGTCCACTTTCACCGTTGCTCCCAGTATTTATTGATTTCCGATTCGAGGACCGTGGCGGGAAATTGAATAGGAATTCCCATCGATCCGCAGCGAAACGACAAAATGCATATTAATGCCGGCGTTAAATAGAAGGGTTTATTAAATGGCGCTCGTTACGCGCCGGTCTCGTCAATCCCCCAGCTACAAAACGGACAATTGGAAATTAGAAATCAAATCCGGCATTGTCGCGGGTAATTTAGAGTGAACGACATACAACGAGGGAATTCTGGTCTGGCCGCTTGTCAACGACTACTGCCGGGGAATTTAATAACGGCTGATGAACCAAACTGTAATCTTCCTTCCCGTAGGAAACACGTTTCATTATCGTCGAACCTCCTCGAGATTGCTTGCTCGTTTAATTGCGCCGAGATACTTTTTCTTCTTTCAATCACATTTTCCAAACTTCAAATTCAAAAAGTCTGAGAGTTGAAATGGGAGTTTTTTCAGCAGTGAAATTTTCAATGCGAGAATCAGAAAGATGGATATTATCATCATCAGAGATGAGTGAAATTTTCACCAACGTTATCGAAATTTTTACGATTATTCTTACGATTATTCCACGCTCTACCCGGAGTCGAGATTGAGACACGAGAGCGTCGAAAACGACGAAACGGGAAACTTATTTTCCGAAACGATGGTTCCGAGAATTTTCAGATGATCTCGAGACATTACCATAAACAATATCACCGAATTTATTACATCCTCGAGATACTACGCCGCGTTCGAAATCCGAAATCGAGGCACGTATGTGCCAAGGTTGTCATCGCGACTCTACCACATTTCCAACATTCCGCGATAATTCGAAATATCACAGTTTTCAGAATAAAAGACGACAGAACGTACATTTTGTAAAACGTATGTTATAAATTTACACCAAGGTCTTTTTTGTCTCCTCCCTCTTTCTCTATCGAAAGATATCCTCCCTCTATTCTCTGTCTGACAATCGAAACAATTTTTCGTCGCCTCTCTCGTCTCTCTCGTCGTTCAGTTCGAGATCTCTTCTCCACCACGCGTGGCCGCTCCGTCGACGTGAGCAAGCATGCCTGACTTCTAAAACCAGTGGCAGCGTGTGCGTGCGTGCGTGCGTACGCGTGTTCCTCGCGCGGATCTTTCGTCGAAAACGTACCGCCGGAAATCGAAGGTCTCCGTCTAAGTATAGCGCCCGCCTCGCTAGCGTAAGTCTGGCCACTGACGTCGGAAAGTGTCAGTATACCCTGGACCGAACCGATTCCAGCAACACGCTGATCCGCGCGAGCGCGCGTGTATAACTTCAACGTGGTGCAACGTAGATTTTTCTTTCAAGAGAAGAGAAGAGAAGAGAAGAGAAGAGATCGCGAAGAGATTCACTACTCATTGTCAGAGCACCGCGCAGACCCCACGAGTGAACGAGTGTTCGAACGAACGATGAGAACGTCGTTTGCCAGTGCGTCGCGTGTGAATACGACATTTTGTGCACGTTTTTAAACTTCCGCCGTTCTTCCGCCAAGGAGAAAGATCTCGGAGAAAGTTTCTTCTCGCGGGAGTTTCGTCGATAACAGGCCTCTTTTTTTACTCGCTTTTCTCTCCGCTCTTTTCACCGTCTTTCTCTACCTTTCTTTACCTTTACCCTCGTTCGAAAGAAACGAAAAAAAAAAAAGAAAAGGGGTAAACGCTTCTCGGATTCGTTTTATGCTGACGCTTTGAAGTTTAGAAAGAGGAAGCGTGAGAGAAAAAGAGAGAGAGAGAGAGAGAGAGAGATTGACATATAATTCTCAGGGTATGTATGCAAATCCCGCGAATATGAAATAGGGGTTCTCTGTTTTGCCGGCTACAAAGAGATGCTTTCGATATCGGTTGACCCGCTGGAATGACAATGATCTTTCGGAAATTTGACGCGCGCCGTTTTGGTCGATGCAGAAGCATCGAGATACCCGATAGATAACGAGACGGAAGAAATTGAATTTTTCCCGTGGACAAATATTTTACTGATACAGAGAGATTTCCATATACGCATTATAATCTCGTTTTGGAAATTTATTAAATTGCTTACTAGCACGAGCATTTTTAACCACTTGCGCTGGCAACTGATTGCGGACCGTAACGAGTGACCGAAACCGTATACAATAATTCGTCGCTTTCTTTTTCTTTTGAACTCGTCGATACAACATCACTGGGTAGAAATTATTGAGAAGTAATAAATTTATTATTTGTTGCCTGGGTAAATATCACGTTTCGCGCGCTGCCCGCCAAGTAAACCAAGTTCCAAAGATCCAAGTAAACGAGCATTTGGATCGTCAGGTTTCTTGAAACGGCGCCCAGCTTGCAATTTCGAGGCAGACAAAGGAAAAGGCTGAATCAGCCGACGATCGCCATTCCGATCGCTTGGCGCGAAAAATATAATAATAACGCGCCACGTGCATCTGCACGTCGTTTCGAACGCGTCACCAAAGAGAGAGAGAGAGAGAGAGAGAGAGAGAGAAGCAAAGATCTCGGATTTTACGCGTGATATCCGCTGTAAAAAGTGAAACCTCCCGAAGGATAACGCTGCAATCTCGTCGCGAAAATTCTCGCGTTTGTCAGCGCGAAGTCTTTCATCACCGAGGAGAGATGCACACGCGCAAATCCATTCATTCTTTGTCCTTCTCGTTTCTCAGAATTCGTGCTCTCGTCGCTGTTTTTCACCGAATTTTCTCGTGAGCAAGAGCAGCCTCGGTCCTTGCGCTTTGTTGCCTCCCGAAACAAACACAAAAGTGCCAAAAATATCGTTCACACTTTGGATCACGGCGCTAATTTCATGCAACCGAGGAAGCGAACGTAGTTCCACAATACAGTGGAATCAGACGGAACTTGGTCGAACAGGTCTGACTATAGATGACGGATCTACTTAACTCCCCGCGTGCTACTCGTGGTATAGGACGTGTCTCATCGAGTTTCGTTTCTCTTGACCATTTTCCCTAAAGTTAGAAATTTCTTTCTCCTCGAGATTCCTAAAAAAATCTGAAAATTTCTACTCTCATCTGAAACTCGCTCTCTTTGCCTTTGAACTTTCGAATTCTTCCAAATTAGCCGCTCCTAACGAAAAGAAGAAAATTTCTAACAAACTCGCAGTCTTGCAAGAGAACACAAGGAAGTCGAAACAGGAGAAGCCGGGTTAAGTCGCGAAGCTGCCGGTTAAGTGTCAGGATTAACATTTTACTTGCTCCTGGCTATCGAGAAAGTTGCTAATACAATAGCACCTAGCCGCCTGTTGCACCCTAGAATTCGCTTTAAGAGCAACAAGTGGTTCGTCTAAGAGTAACAATGCTTTCTAATGTGGCCCCGCTCGTTTCCACCGCGGTGACTTCTCCGGTGAGGGCTGATTGGCCCTTGGCACACGGCCTTCCGACGTCTCTCTCTCGATTCTTCTACGTGCAACGAACGAACGTTGCGAAAGCCCCGACCCGGAGTGAATTTGGCTGCCCGACTCCGCTTTCAAATAATCCCCCTCGCTCCCAATTACTTTGCCGCGTTTCTACACGCGTAGTGCCGGATTTTAAATTTAACCCGCCCGCGCGCGGGTTTCTCGTCGATGTTGTTCGGGCAGAGTCTCGATCGTCAGAGAGACGAGCCAGAAAATCCATCGCTTACGATAGTAGCCGTGTATAAACTCGTGGCCGGTGCTACGTCACGCCACGAGCCGATAAAATACAATTTGGATGCTGTTCCAAGAAAGTTTTGGGAAACCCGAGGAGCAATCCTCGACATTTGGAAAGTGAAAAGAAATTTGTGAAAGCGAGAGAATGCGACATCTAGGCTAAACTGTCTTTCGAGTGTTTTTTACATTTTAGAATATTATTCTAAAGTTATTATTATATATATAATTTTACATATAAATATATTTTTTTAATATAAAGTATATTTTTTATTATATAAAGTTATTATATATATATAAGAATATTATTCTTTAATATTTAAATTGCTTGCACAAACATTGGCAATTTATAATACCGCACAAACGGATAAATGTATTTACATGGCGCGTTGAAAGATGATTAAAGGGAAGCAAATGTAAAAAATACAAAATAATTAAAATACAACCCAAGGAGCAATCCTCGACATTGTGAAAATTCTCATACAAACTGAGAGAATGCAAAATCTAGGCAAACATCTATCTTTCGAGTGTTTTTTTACAGTTTAGAATATTATTCTAAAGTTATTATTATATATATAATTTTATATATAAATATATTTTTTTAATATAAAGTTTATTTTTTATTATATAAAGTTATTATATATATAAGAATATTATTCTTTAATATTTAAATTGCTTACACAAACATTGGCAATTTATAATACCGGACACAAAGGGATAAGTGAATTTACACGATTAAAGAGAAGCAAATGTAAAAAGTACAAAGTGACAACGACTTTGGCGCAATTTTAACACTAGAACTGTCAAAATGTAAAATTCAGGACAGAAAAATTAAAACGCAAGAAACAGGGAAAAATCACGATGCATTTTATTAAAAATCACTCGAAATCGCTAAAAAAATAATACACCGTTACGAATTTATAAAATTTCGACCACTCTGCTGGTTCTAGCGTCGATGAAAACGAAGGTGATGGGGGACATTATTAATAACGTTCGACGGGCGAGTGTCACGAATGGGAATGGGAAACAGAGTATTAATAGACGTTATTGAAAAATCCGCGAGCCAGACCAGTTATTTCTCTTGGCCCGGGCCACGATCACGTTGCATCCGCGTTCGAAGGAAAATGTTCGAAACTCGCTGCGACGATTCAAACTTTCCTCCTACAAACGTCCAACAAAGTATAATACACTTTCTCTAAAATTCAGCGACTACTTTCGAAAAATCGCTCCGTAGATCGATCCTTGAAACGACGAACGGAGAATACGAGAGACTCAGTAGTTGCCAAGCCTCTCAAAGTCTAATCGCCGTCGTTCAGGCTAATTTGCAAAGTTCGCAGGGCACACTCTGCGAGTTTGTCCATTCCTCGGGCAACAACTCCGACGTGTCTCGATGACACGGCGAGTCTCGAAATAGAAGAGCAACGACTCCTCGCGAAAGAACTTGACATTGTCTCAGTTTCGCGCGGAATCGAACAATGAAACACGGGACAAAGTTGAAAAAGACGAAAGACAGGAAGAACGCGAAGAAAGTAAGATAGTCGAACAGCGAAAGGGAAATCAAACTCGTCGAACATACAACTCGTCTCTCGGCGAACATTGACGACACTGATGAATAACGACTTGGCGCGACAGAGATCTTAAATTGCAACGGGATTGTTATACGTTCGAACTATTTATTAACTATGACGAGGATCACTTCGTATTTCAGGCAGTGGCGTAAGGTTCGCGGATGTTTTACGGGAAGCTGGTTAAACCTGTGACGCGGATTGACGAGAATCACTTTCTTTTAATATAACAACATCTTCTTTATTCGACGCAGATTCGTGCGTTGGCTGCTTCCTATATTTAACGCGTTCTGATGCACTTTCACGTGCGTTTAAATTTAATTCCATGATCTATCGTCGCGAGAATGCAAAAATCTTCTGAACGAGAATACAAAATGATGAAATGAAAGAGACAATATCCTGGTATATCCCTCTGAACGTATTACCAAGCTACGGGAAGAAGTTTCGCTCGGATTTTCCGCGTCAGCGAACAAGTCGGAGAATAAAAAGAATTGGACCAAGAGGAAGAGAAGAAATAACGAGTGTTTCCTTGTGTTTTGCAGGCATGGAGCAGTTCGAGCAACTGCTAACGTGCGCGATATGCCTGGACCGATACAGGAACCCCAAGTTATTGCCATGCCAGCACAGCTTCTGCATGGAACCGTGCATGGACGGTCTGGTTGACTACGTGCGTCGGCAAGTGAAATGTCCAGAATGTCGAGCGGAGCATCGTATACCCTACCAGGTGAGTCGATCGACCCTCTGACTAGGGTCGGTAGATAGCTAACAGACGGATTTATTTAATATCATCCGTACGTGAATTGATTTTTCTTCGAAAATTCACAGAAACTCTCCGTGTTCGCGTTACCTTGATATACAGGGTGTCCATAAAATCTCTTTCAAAAATTTATCACAAAGGGAAATGAGAAGACAGATAATTGGAAATTATTACAAAATGAGACGTATATGTTTAAGTTTTCTTTTTTTTGTTGCTCTATTTAATACACCTCTATATTTCTTGCCATGTTCGCGGTAGCATGGCTTCATCAATGGCGAGTGATCCTCTGCTTTAGATTAGTGATGTCCTGTACCTTTGTTCGACACACTATGTGAGAATCTGGGGATCAGAAAACCCCCACGTGACTAGGGAATTTTAGCGAGACAGTCCAGAGGTGAATGGATCAAATGTTTGTCTAATGGTGCCCATATAGAGGTGTATTGAGACAGAAAAAGAACTTAAATATATACGTCTCATTTTGCAATAATTTCCACTTATCTGTCTTTTCATTTGCCTTTGTAATAAATTTTTGAAATTGCAAAGAGACTTTATGAACAGGCTGTATAATTCCTTCAGTCATACAGAATTCGGAACAATCCCGTGACCCGTATTCTTCCATCCGCCACGGTTTCAAACCAATTAAAAGAATATCGCGTCGCAGTTCTCCCTTTTGCTTTTAAAACAGGGGGCAAGAGGTAGAGTTGGATCGAGTTCGGGAATTAGAATTCGTTTGGCCGACGCGAAAAGAGCTGCTTGACGTCATCGTTCGTAAAGCGAGAGAGAAAAGAAAGCCGAACTGGCGAAGCGGAACTGTCTGCGAGATGCAGATGTACACACGTAGAATTAAAATACACCGTGCCTGCGCCCGTTAGCTCTCCCCTTCCGGCTGTGTGTATAACGCGTGGCCTCATCTTTATTCAACGAATCCACCGCGAGACAGTGTACCCATCGTGAAATTGGATAAAGTTTCGTACTGACACCTCTCGCCGAGACCATTTGTCTTAGTTTCTGTCCTATCGTGGAAGCGTGGAACATCGACGTCAAACGTAACTCGATTATTCTTAATTAAAAGCGACGTGGGCGTACGCGAGAGCGGATAAAGCGGGGATGGGGGGGGGGGGGGAAGTAGAAGAAAGAAGGACGAAACGCGCGAAGGAACTCAGTTGAATTTTCTGGAAGAAACTAAATCAGAAATTCAGTTTCGGAAAGACGAAAGCGTGTACGGGGCTGGAAGTCACCCTGCTGTTCCAACAATAATAAGTTTCTTTCGTTTTGTTTCGAAGGAGACTCGCGAGACTTTCAAAAAAAAGTGTCCGGTCGATCTTCGGTAACTCGATACATTTTGAAAAGCTCAAATAATTCACACCGTTCTATGTATTAATTCCTCTAAGACTAAAGCTTGGATGCGTGTATGTAAATAAATGAACTTCATTTTAAACAAGAGTCGCACGCGCGAGTAAAATTTTCTCCACAACTTGGGTCACATTTCTTTCTTGCTAAAGAAATCAAGAAATACCATCGCGTGGTGGTACTAACTCTAACGCAAGCATTGCCGCGTTATCGCCAGGGTGTGCAGGCCTTCCCGACCAACGTGACCCTGCAACGATTCCTGGAATTGCACATCGAAATCACCGGGGAGCTACCGGACCCGACCAGCGGTCAGACGATGGAACGCTGCGGCGTCTGCTCGGAGAAGAGCTACTGCTCCCTGTGCGTCCACTGCGAGAAGAAGTGCTGCCCCGAGTGCAAGGACGCTCACATGGACATCCTCAGGCGTGAGATCACGCGCATCAATTCCCAGGTAAACCGTGACAGCCTTACGTTCGCGCTGAGATCCTCCCGAGTAGCTAGCGGCAATAAAAAGGACCGACGCTTGCCCGACGTTCTCTCTGTGAACATCTATTTTTGGCCAGGAGAATCGACGAGCAAGTCTCTCCTTCTCTCTACTCGAATGAATGAGGGAGAAGGAAAGAGAAATCCGACGTAGAAAATCCGTATCGATTCGCCAAGACGAGAGAAATGATTTCACGGCCGGACGGTGTCCGACCCCTTAGCTTCGCCCCTCGATTTCTACTAATTTCCTGATTCCACCCGCCTGACGATTAAAAAGCTCCCGGGGATTAATGGGAATCCAAACCCGTCAAAATGAAGCATCGTATAAAGTAGATTTGTTATCGATTCGTTCTTTGTTCGTAGAAGTTTTATCTTATCCCGCTCTTGCCTTTTATTTTCGTTCCCTTGCATCCTTCGCTCCTTTGTCTTGACCTCCCTTGTATTCCTCGTCGTCCCTTGCGTTTCTTTTCTTCCTATCATTCCTTATCTCTCTTGTTCGCGATATTTCTCTTCGTCATTTCCACTTCTCCTCCAATCTTTCTTTTTCTTCCCCTCTCTTCCTGTTTTCCCTCCCTTTTCTTTCCAACATCCTCACATCCCTTCCGTTTATTCGTTTCGTTCGATATTTATTTCCACGATGAAAGAAATAGAGTAGCTAGCTGCACTTGAGATTAAAAAAGACCAGCCAACATTTTAACCGACAGTTCGATTTGCGTTTCAAGTGTTTTTCTGTGTCTTTTCTGTCCGACTAACACCGCGGCAATTCCCTTCCCATTATTCCCATTATTCTAAAACGCTAAAATCCACGAAACGAGATACGACGAAAATTTGCAAGTTAGAGAGCACCTAGGTGTGCGTGAAATAGTGACAATTATGGCGTATAGAGTAGGAAAGTTGGCGGCGTACCTGAGTGGGTGGTAACACGTTTTCCACGAATTCGCCGGCGACGTTGCCTGGAGGATGATAAATGCAAACGAGGTAGAATTTGCCGCTGTCATCGTTCGCCAATCCGAGACCTATCGATTCGGTTTTCTTCCAAATTAGCTGAGTAAAGTGGCGCACAGCATCCAAATCTTTCGCCTCGTCCCCGTACTTGAAGTAGTTGCCCTCTCCGTACCTGAGAACCAATCACACACATTTATAATTTGGTGCAACAAATACAGGCTGATATTGAAAAATTCAGCACAAATTCAGGACGAATAGAATTTTTATGATTGTCCTCTAACCAAATTAAAAAGAGTTAAATTCTAAAATCCATTTTTAGCGTGAATTGTGATTACGAGACAAACGATTACTACAAATATCAAAGTTAATTCTACAGACTTGCTTAACTTTCGACAAAACGTCTCGTCGTTTAAGAAAACTATACGTAAATTCGGGGACGAAAATTGTTCAAATACAAACCAATATTCCAACGGATCCTGCGGCTTAATTCTGTAAGGAACGTCCCTCCAGAAACTGCGGTAGATATTTTCGCCATACTCGGGATCCGATCTATACTGAAGAATGGCCATCCTCGCTAATTCGTCCGCCCATTCCTGCGCCAGCTGGTTCAACTAGAAAACGAATTTTTCCACTCGTTAACGCAGAGTCCACGTTGCCCTGAATCCTGTTCCATCGTCTTAGATTTCAACGTCGTTGAAATTTACTACGGATCGGATCGTCATATTGCCGCGTTGATAAACATGTACAGAGGCTATCCGTCGAATAATGGCCCCGTTCAATATTTCACGAAACCCTCGTGGAGCAAACGAACACCCGGGGAAATAAGAGGATACCCTTGTATACCTTGTCGTCGATTTTTAATGGCGGGGAGCGGTGAATAGCTCGATATTCATTGTGCAGTGTCAGGAAATCAGCCACGAAATTCGGCGGGTAATTTCTGCAGAAAACAAAAAAGAAAGAGAGAGAGAGGAGGCATTAAAGAAGAGTTATATTCATCTCTCTACGGAACGTAACATAATAACTAGATTCCAGGTAGATTCGATGCTCACTCCATTTTTAATTAAATGCTTTCAAGAGTCGAGGAATGGTGTTGATCGATACTCGAGGGCTGTTTGAAAATACGGCAATTGCGCTGGGTGGCATGTCTCGCAGGATTTTCGTAATGAGAACTTCGATGAGGGAGAATTACACGGTTACATGTTGGAAGCTGAGGACTATTTAGGTTACACGAGCCGAACGTCAAACGAACAATCGCGAAACAAAACGTTTGCCACGCTCGTACATAGATGTTAGAACACCTGCGCCCTCGGCCAACAACGTTAGCAAAATTATCGAATTGCCGAGCCATAGGCTTTGTAGATTGATAACACGAAACGGATATAATTAGAACTTGCAAATTTGCAATTTTTGCTGGATAACTTATGTCGGCGTGACGAGATATTCCACATTTTTGATACAGATTTAGATATTCAGAGTACATTTGAGAGAACCTGTTTGACGTATTATGTATTTGAGCATGAAAATTGTGTATTTCTTGTGATTTAAAGAGTAGCCCTCTGTCTGGCGAGAGCCCCTTCTCACCCCTTCACTTCGGAAATCGCGCTCGATCTCGCGTTTTCCTCAGACGCGGAACTCGCATCGCGAGTTTGTTTTGAATACATTAGGAGCGGGCAAATATACCGACTAGCTATTTTTGGATTGCGCATACATGCATAGCGCACGGGCTGCACGTACGCGGTTATGTTGACCTGAATTCGCGATATTCGTCGCGGTCGAATCGACTCGCATGATATACGCAACTCGATTTCGATATTTCCGGGTCTATTTAAGATTTCAAGCCCGACCGGCATAATTACCGTGGAACCGCAATGCCAGAGTCCCGTTGTCCGATGACGAGAAATCCAGGAAGGATTTTCGGCGTTGTTCATCAGAACAGCCATTGTTTCGCGAAACAATGATGTAATTCGTCGTGTGGCGAGCACACGCCGTCGTTTAGAAGTATCGGGACACACGCGTGGAATTAAGCAAAATTCATTGAATCATCGAGGGTCGCTATCTAATTTGAAATCTCACAAACGTTGTGAACATTCGGTGTGAGACTTCACAAATACAGTTTCGGATTTTAGCCAACTTCCCTGTAAATATCCTCGGAATAGAAACAATCCGGATAGAATAGAATGGAATCAATAAGAGAGTAATAGAATCTTGGTAACAAACCAAGTCAAACAACACACGGATAGGCACAGAGGTAGACAAATATTCAAATTTACAATGCCACGCCAAATGCAGAATATTCCAGCCTCAAACATAATTATTCCAAATATCCATGGGAAACGTGTAATATTACGGCGAGCACACGCCGTCGTTTAGAAGTATCGGAACACACGCGTGGAATTAAGCAAAATTCATTGAATCATCGAGGGTCGCTATCTAATTTGAAATCTCACAAACGTTGTGAACATTCGGTGTGAGACTTCACAAATACAGTTTCGGATTTTAGCCAACTTCCCTGTAAATATCTTCGGAATAGCAACAATCAGGATAGAATAGAATGGAATCAATAAGAGAGTAATAGAATCTTGGTAACAAACCAAGTCAAACAACACACGGATAGGCACAGAGGTAGACAAATATTCAAATTTACAATGCCACACTAAATGCAGAATATTCCAGCCTCAAACATAATTATTCTAAATATCCATGGGAAACGTGTAATATTACGGCGAGCACACGCCGTCGTTTAGAAGTATCGGGACACACGCGTGGAATTAAGCAAAATTCATTGAATCATCGAGGGTCGCTATCTAATTTGAAATCTCACAAACGTTGTGAACATTCGGTGTGAGACTTCACAAATACAGTTTCGGATTTTAGCCAACTTCCCTGTAAATATCCTCGGAATAGAAACAATCCGGATAGAATAGAATGGAATCAATAAGAGAGTAATAGAATCTTGGTAACAAACCAAGTCAAACAACAAACGGATAGGCACAGAGGTAGACAAATATTCAAATTTACAATGCCACACCAAATGCAGAATATTCCAGCCTCAAACATAATTATTCTAAATATCCATGGGAAACGTGTAATATTACGGCGAACACACGCCGTCGTTTAGAAGTATCGAGACACACGCGTGGAATTAAGCAAAATTTATTGAGTCCTCGAGGGTCGTTGTCTAATTTGAAATCTCACAAACGTTGTGAACATTCGGTGTGAGACTTGACAAATACAGTTTCGGATTTTAGCCAACTTCCCTGTAAATATCCTCGGAATAGAAACAATCAGGATAGAATAGAATGGAATCAATAAGAGAGTAATAGAATCTTGGTAACAAACCAAGTCAAACAACACACGGATAGGCACAGAGGTACAAACATTCAAATTTACAAATGTAGAATATTCCAGCCTCAAACACAATTATTCTAAATATCCATTCGAAACGTGCAATATTCCAAATGAATAATACCTATCCTAAATGTATAACATCGTAACCTGTCCCAGTTGGTGCCGCAATTGTCCCTCTAAACATTGAAACCTTTCCAACCTAAACGCGTGTTCCACTGTAAAGGGGATCAATCGATCGATTGATCGATCGATCGAGAAAAAGAAAAAAAAAGAGATTCGAAGAAAAGAAAAAAAATCCTGTTTGCAGATACGAAGGGGGTTGCACAGGTTGCAGGACGCGCTCGCTCTGGTGGAGAAAAACACGTTGGGACTGCAAACAAACTGCGCCTCGGTGGCGGAAGAGGTGGACGAGATTTATCGGAGGCTAAGCAAGGCTTTGAAAGACCGTACGGAACATCTGCGTAACGAGGTCGATCGATACCTGAGCACCGAGCTCAGAGGCTTGATTCAGCTCAAAGAGAATCTCGAACTGGAAATTGCGAATATCCAGAGCAACTGCGATCTGGCGGAGGCTCACATCAATGAAAACGTGCCGTGGGACGATTCCGAGCTCCTCGACACGAAAGAACTGTTCCTGCGTACGGTGGAATTCATCAGGTTCGTCTTATCGATCTCATTCCTCCCGTTCTCCTACTCTCTTGTCTTTTCTTTTTTTCTTTTTTTTTTTCTTTTCCTCAGAATTCCTCAAACTCCCCGGAGACCGACGTACGACTGTCCTCTTAACCAAGGGGAATATTTTTCAGATTGAAATTGCCTTACTCGCTGTGGCTGACAAGATACATCGTCACGTTCACAGTGCGTGCACCCTCACGATGAAATATGTTGTCACACTCGTGCTGTAATTAATGGTTAGCGAATGATCGCTGGACCACAGATGCTCGTGCAAATTTCTTTCGATTCGAAGATTATTTCTTAGGAAATAGAACATTCGTAGAAACTTACGACACATTTGAAAACACGATTACAGAAGTTTATTTTAAAAATCTCCTTGGACCTCACAGCGAGCTTTATATATCGGATATTTCGTGTATTTTTCTATATTAAATATTTAAATGCATAAAAATTCGCACGAAAATTACGTGACACGATGAAATATTTCCCTATATCCGGTTAAGAGGTTAAAATCATCGGTACACAGAGTCGCCATATTTATACACTTTCTTAAACAAAAATTTCGATCGCTTGAATCTTCTCTCCAAGCCAGAGACATTTGATCCAGTGTTTCCTTAACGAGCCTTGAACGAAACAGAAACTTAAACTAAATCAAACTTTTATCGCTCGGATAGGAAAATTCCCGTCTGTTTACTTGTAAAATGCCACGGTTTGCGAAACGCTTGATAGGTCTGGCGGAAATTCAGATTAAAATCTGCTGAACCAAAGAAAAGCAGCGTTCCCTTTCAAGGATAGTCGCAGCTGACAAGGCCGGAATGCAATATAGTTAAATTTCAAGAATTAAACGAAACGAAACGCGCGAAGAATTCAGCGAAAATTGCGTGAAAATTGCGTTTTAATTGTAATCTCGTCGGTGTTACGGGGCGAAGAATTAAAAGGTATTGAACGACAAGAGTTTTCAATTCAACGTGAGGAGAGAGAGGTAGTCTCGTTTTTCCCCTCGCCGTTATTGAGCGACGTTCAAGTCCAAAAAGGGCCTCGGGATCCCTAAAAAATTCATCGCGGACACTGCGGGGAATGACGATCCTCTTGAAATATAAAGTACCCTAAATTTGATTAGCGAAGAGGCAATTTTCTTCCGGCCGTGTTCGTTTCGCCTCTTTCTTTTTTTTTTTTTTTTTTTTTTTTTTTT